GACCGCGCAGCTCTATCCCGACCGCGCAGCTCTATTGGTGACCGCGCAGCTCCGCCCCGCCCCGCGCAGCTCCGTCCTGACCGGCGCATCTCCACCCTGCGCAGCGCAGCGCTCCCTACGTTTTTGAATCTTTAAAAGCCGGTGCTGTGCCACTTACCAGAAGCAGCGCTGGAATGAGAAATAGCACAAATTTTAGCAATACATCAATCACCTACCTGGCTTCTGTTCTAACATGGACCTCAGTGCGTTTTCAAGCACTTACATATCCATATTGTGCAAGTGTTAGTCCTAAAGGATTTCCCTTGGAAAGCACTATAATTCACCTCTCTAGAGGACAGTCTGTGTTCTGCAAATAGGGAGAATGCCAGATTTCCAGGTAACACCTGTTCCCTAGGATTAAATACTGCTTGCTGACTGCAGAAGGGAAAAGCAAGCCCACTGTTGATTCATGTCAGCCCAGAAAAGCTCACAGCCAATGTGACAGGCTCTTGGACTGTGCATTAAATTTCATCACAGCCATTCCAAAAGCAATGGGGCTCTGTTTGGTGCCAGTGGCAAATTTAACTGAAAACATATTGGACAAAGAGGTGTGAGCTGGCCAACAGTTTTAGTTGTGACTACTGTCCAAGATGGAAAAGGATCCAGGCTAGATGTCCACCAAATTAGGCAACAAGTATTTCTTGATCCCAGAATGCTTTAAGGGAGTCTCTTCCTCTTTTGCACTGGAAAAGGCTTTTCCCAAGCTTGTGCTATTTGTGAAACTTAATGTCAGGGCATGAAAAGCAACCATAAAGAAAGGAACCACGGTTCCTCACCTATGGTTCTTAGGTACTTTTTAAAATGGATACATTTCTCAGCATATGACTACATTAAGCAAATCTATTTCCTCTTTTTTTCCTCTCCTCATCCTTTTCTGTAGCTCTAGTCTGTCTATTAAACTGGGAAAATACAAGGGAATTCTGGGATCTGCACTGTAGGCACTGCTCAAGCAGTTCAGCTGACATGAATTGATAGCAATAAGGAACCTCAGCTGAAACACCATCTACATCCCCCAGGCCACCCCGCTGCCTTCAGAGTCCACCACCTGCCTGAGGAGGAAACATCACTTCCCTATCACAAGCAATGGTGATGGGTGTTGCTGCAGCACCTTGGGAAGCATGAATGTCCAGTTCCTCTCCATTCCTTGTTTTTCTGCATTTCTTGCTTTACAGGTATAACTTGCTTCTTTTTTTTTGTATTTCAGCAAACCAGGATGTGATGTTGATCCATTGATGAACCATGACACACCTCCAATTTACACATGTGCACATTTACACATAATGGGGCTACTTCAAAACAATTCAAGGCCACTTTTAACCCATTTTCCCTCTTTCTACTCTTCTGAGATGCAAGGTGGCATCATCCCATATTAAAAAGTATTTAGCTAGAAACAAAATACAATTAGCCTTTGCCAGTCTTTGGAACTGATAGCTGTCACTGCAGCTGTGAGTGCTGCATTAAGCTGCTGTACTTTAAAAAAAACAAGCAACCAAATCCCGTTAAATACATCACTGTTGTTAGGTGGGTGCTTTTCCTCTTCCCAAAAGACAAATGTAATCATTTTTCACTCCAAGCTGCTGTTTAGCTCCCCAGTTCCTAGAGTGAAGCAGAGCCTCTGTTCTAGGCTACTATTACTAAGATTTGGACTCCATGCAACTTTCACTTGAAATTCAAACCTTTCTTCAAGCTGAAGTTGAATTAAACTCCAAAAGCTGTTATTTCACCAGTTCCTCAGAAGATTGCCCAGCCTCCCATGCTTCAGCATCCCTGCTGTGCTCCCTTGGCACTGATTGAGGGCTGCTGCAGCCCAATCCTATCCTGCTGAGGGTCCCTTCTCCCTCAGACCCTTTGGAACCCCACCAGGAACCTGGCTTCAGGTTCTCCTCAGGAGAGTGCAGCAAGCAATCCACCCAAATTTCTCAGTGTGATGAGCACAGCCTGACAGCCAGGCTAATATGACCCCTCGAGTTCAGCCAGCAGCAGTGAATTCCAGTACCTGAATTCCAGTCAGCACAAGCCCACTTTGGTACAAACCTTTATTATCTCACACCTCCTTGCCACAGCTATCATTGAAACAACTGATATTCATATTTTACAGGTACCATAAAAAGTTACAAAGTGTAAATTACGCTGTGTAGTTCACAAAGCAAAAATACTCGAGGATTGACTTTCAGTCAATGGAATTTGGCACAGAGGTGTTCACACACGAGGGAACAGGCAGGAGCTTCATCCTGAGCGTGTCAGGCAGGCAGTGTTTGCACAGTTTAGAGGCAGAGCTTCTCCTCTTGATGGATGGCTGGCTTCCCTGGGATTACCTGTGGCATTGAGAGGCACAAAGAGAAACAGCCCAGGAAGCAGGCCCCAGGCAGTGTGGCATCCCACCTGGAATTTGAGTGCTGCCCAGTTGCAGCTGGGGAAGGGTGTGTCACCATTCCTACCAGCTCCTTGCTCTTGCTTTGTCCAGTATGAACTGCAGCTGGAGACTCTTGCTCCAACAAACAGGGGCACTTCTCTGCCTGCGGCAGTGCTGGGATTGGTGCCTGTGGTAGCCAAAATGGGTCTGTGGCTGCCAGGGCTCTGGCTTTCAGGCTCAGGATTGCATGGCTGCTTTACAGATCCACACACTAACACAGAGGTAAATATTTCAGATGACACCGTGTCTATCACGTTTAGAGACAGAATTCTATTTTAAAACAGTCCTGGGCACACTAGACAATTGCTTAAAAAAAGGTACTTTGGAAGGACCATCATAAGCAATATGCAGTAGTAACTGAGCAACAATAAATATTTGGGTTGTTTGGAGATTTTGTTGGTCTGTTATTTGTTGTTGGGTTTTTGTTTTTGGGTTTTTTACCATCTCCATTGTTACAAAGCAATGACAGTATCAGTAGTCATAGCAACACAATCCCTACTTGTTCTACCTGAGCCAGTTATGGTACAGAGAGCCCACAGATAATTTCCTCATGGAATTCAGAGGAAAGCCTGTTTATAGGATACCCTTCTGACCAGATACTGTCTCAAAATCAGTATCCACATATTCCCTAGAAGTTTTGATTAATTTAATTAACAAAAAACATTGTTACTTTCCATCCTCAACCCAAAGCTAAAATTTTTAAATTTACAGCCCAATCTTCTGTATCATTAAGGTAATGGAAAAAGAACTGACTGAAAATGAGAGGAAATATCTCATTAGAGCAGATGATCTAGGAGAGCACAGTCTGACAGACTCCAAATTCTTCTTTCATGAATAATGCTTACTACTCATCAGGGCAGGCAATAAAAGTCAAATCCAAAGGAAATTTCACATAGTTGGCTAAGACAGAGCAACTGTTCAGGGATTGTCACTTTGTGCAATCCTCAGACTTGAGACCTCTTCCCAGGTAACAAATCTGCCTCCTTAGAAACATGCCCTTCCAGAGCTGGAACAGTCCTGATCTTAAGGTGGTGTCAAACACACACAGCCACAGTGCTTCCTCTTACTGAGACCTCTTCCCAGGTAACAAACCTGCCATGTCTGACCTCCCTAGAAATATGCCCTTCCAGAGCTGGAACAGTCCTGATCTTAAGGTGGTGTCAAACACACACAGCCACAGTGCTTCCTCTTCTCAAACCCTACTCCTAAACCACATTTTTGCTGAATGATAAGACACCACTCAGTATTTTCCATGCATAGAGACCAGCGATCTCAGCCCAGGGAAAGGTGGGCAGAAAGTGAGGAAGCGAGATTCCTGCACCACAGTGATCATCAGTGATCAGCAAAGGCCTGGGAAGGGAGGGCAGGCACACATGGCACCAAGAAAGCTCAGGTAGAGGTGAACTGTGGCCACATTGACAGCAGTCTGTCAGGGAAGAGGGGCTTCTTCAGGCACTGCAAATTCCACCCCTGGTTCCCAGAATGTTGTGTCAGAGAAAATGAGAGCACGACTCAGTGTTGTTTACATCCAGATGACAAATAGGCACTAGAAGGAAGAGCCCTCTTAAGGAAACCAACTTGTTGCTGGAGGGTATTTTGGAGCAACAAGTACATCATACATCTGCTCTGTCTGGCAAATACTTGTTTGGCTTTGGGGTGTTGGTTCAGCTGGAGTTCACTCCACAGAAGTAATTTCCACTCTTTTCTTTCAACACCTTCATCTTGCTAAGATACTTTTTCTCCAGGGTTCTACCTTGTTCTCAAAGTTCCAGCTGTGTTTCTTCTAAGAGCCTCCAGCCCATGGAATACACAATGTGTCCAGTACTGCTATTCCTGGAGCACCTCTGTGCTCATCTGAGGCAACTGAAGATGCCCAGCTGCCTGACAAGCCCATGCATGACCTGTCAGAGCACCTCACTGATGTAATAGTCGGGTACCAAAACTGCTAAAAGCACAGCAAACTCTTCATGAACTGCAGACTGCAAAGTCTGCAGGCAGTCAGAAAGTATGTACAAATACAAGAATTTATCTCATAAAAATTCAGTAATATATTACAATTCTTTCCATACACAATAATTTCCAAGACCTAGGCATTTTCACTGAAAAGAAGTTTGGCTAAGATTTTTTTTTAAATTTTCTGAAGTGGATATCCACATTTAGGATAAACCTTTTCTCAAATTCAGGCACCTGCTTTATGTACAATGCATCCTCTTAACCTGCAGCACCCAAGCTATGCTCACATTGCCTTGGCACTGCAGCTGTGTCACCAGGCATTATCAAGTACACTTTCCTTGGTGAAATTTCAGAATTGACTGAACAAACTGGGTTCCCCTTCCTTCTGTGCAAGTGCTTGACATAGGATTATTTTTAATTTGCACAGGATGAAGAGTTCATATGAGTCCCTCCTTCTCCTGTCCTGTGCCTGCCATCTCTTCTGAGGCTGAAACTACCAAATCTGCTTCATCTTCCAAATTTATGATCCAAAGCACAGATTGTCCAGAAAAGTCACATCATTCAGTGCTTCCCACCACCCAGCACACACGTGCACACAAAAATCTCAACACACTGTTCTCCAAACAGGTTTGCTCTGCTCCATGACTTGGACAAACCATTTTTGCCAATATCCAATTCAGGACTAAAGGCTCCTGTTTATTCTTGAATTCTCATGTAGATGGTTTACAGTAGCCATATGCTGAAAACATACACCTTCATTCCTGTGGAAGAGCAGCAGGGGTGTCTGACATTCAGAGAAGAACCTGATGTCATGTCTGATAAATGCTGGTAAATCTCTCAGTCTCTAATCAAAGACTTCTTGGATTTATGCTTCTGCTACTGATCTCATGCTGGGGCAATTTTCTGTGCTCAAGCTGTGGTAAGGACATCTGTGTGGAGTGTCTCACTCACATTTCTGGCACACATGAACCTAAAAGGACAACTTAAAACAGCACTGGCTTCAAGGCTTACATCCCAATGATCCCTCCCCCATCACCCAAGAATAAGATAAAAATCAATAAATCATCTAATAATCCCTTCTTAAAAGTATTCCTTACATAAGGATAATTACAGATTGCAAAATATGGATTGCAAGAAAGACATCTTTGAGCAGACACTGTTTCTTTGCATGAGATTTGGAATTACAAATTGTAATTTGCTACTCGAAGATGAGAGATTTATGTGCAGGGATGCCATAATTGCTTTTGTGTTCTTCAAATAATTTCTTTAGTTTCTGTAGATACAATGCATGTAGCTGATCAATCTCTTCAGTGGTGGGGTTCAAGTTCTGTTTTACAGGGATGGGGCTTCCCACTGTAAATCAAACACAACAGCATTAGCTTCATTGACATCTCAAGGAATTGCTGCTCCTTCTGTAAGAGCTCCACCACAGCTCCCATCCGGATTGCAGAATCACAGCACAATTTTCTTACCCTGCAGCCTGATCCTGCCTTTCACAAGCCTGAGTCCTGGTTTTTCACTTCCTTTTGCTCCAGTTCAGGTAAAATGAATTAACAGCCCCGCCCCCAGCGTTTCAGTTTGGCAGCAGCAGAGCAAATGAGAAGAGTGATAAGCTCTAACTTGAAAGAGCAGTTGACACTTCAAGATACAGTCCTATGGGTTATGTGCTGTCTACAAGTTCAACACAGTATTTAAAAAAATGTACTTCCTCACTGTCTTCTGATCTGAATAGTAAAACCACTCAATGTGAGGTGTGCTTAAGAGGACAGTGGTGCCCTCAACCACACAGTCACATGAACAGGACTGAAGGAAATATTTATCTTCCAATTTATTCAAAATGGATATCACTGCACCAGAAATGTAACCTCAGCCTAGGGAGGGGTAGCATGTAAATTCCCTAAATCCTGTGAGGTGTCTCTGAACCATCCATTGCCCACAAATGTCACTGGAACCAAAATGTTCTCCAGGCACTGTGCAAAGCCTGCTACCTTCTCCATGGGAGGTGACTCCATGGAAATCCAGAGGGCAGCCTTCTCTTCAACAAAAGGTTATGGCTAAAAAGTGGATTGCTAAGAGAAGCTTCCCATGATCTCAGTTTCTCCTGTGTTGTTCAGTCACCAGATTTTGACAGCTATTCTTGCATTGGAAGCACCAACACCTTAACAGACCCAACTGGGATTACAGAGGAAGCCTAGAAAAACAGAGAGCTCAAAGCACCCTCAGGACTTTTCCAAACACACCTGAAAATTCCTGTTAAGAGATGTTGCCACTTCAGGTTGGATGGTGATGACTAAAGGGAAGCCTAGCCAGAAGCACAAAGAGCTGAGCCTGCATTTTCCTGCTGCAGCTCCAGCTGCCACCATCTCTCAGGCCTGTGTGGTGCTGAAACTCAGACTTTACACAGATGGGGTGGGAACCCATGCCTGGATGAGCAATACCTTAGAGGTGTGAAATCAATATACATACAATACAGGATTTCCAGAGGTAGGACTGGAAACAGCAAACAGCCCCCAAGCCCTTCTGCAACGGTCTTTTCTCCCAAGAGTGAAGTTTTCTTGTGGGATAGAAAACTACACTCATCTCTCCAATATTACGTGCAGCTTTAAGGAACTTGCTTAATTTGATATTTTAGAGTTGCTTCTATTTCTGTAAAGCAGTAATAAAAAAAAAAAGTAAAGGGAAAACAAAAGTGCTCATCAAGCCCAAAACACTCAAACTTCACAGATCTTGGCTTAGCTGAATGGCTCTTGGATCCATGGCTTCTGAACCAGCACTGGAATCACCCATACTTGGCCACGTTGGCAGCACAGCTCATCACCTCAGGTGAGCTCACTGCAGCTCTCAGGAGCTCAGCCATGCTTTCAAAGCCAGGCTGAGTCATACCAAGAACACCCCACACACTTCCAAGGACACAGAGACATTGTGATAGCTTTCAAACATGGGGAAAGAGACAAAAAGGCAAAGGACCTCTTGAAATCTTACAAGTTCTGTTGCAAGACTCTGGTCTTGCTGATTTGTAGCACTCCTGTGCTTTTGTCATGATGAAGAAATGCCTCATAAAATAAGACATTTTAAGCTTCAGAACAGCCCTGGTGTCATCAGCCCAAAAAAAAAAAAAATAGCAGATTATAGATCTCATCCAATATATCCATTCCAAAGTTTGATCATTTTTTGGCTTTAAAATAAGTGACATTTTTAGCCTGCCTGTATACAATGCAGTCATTGAAATGAAATATTTTCAAAATATTCAACTGCATGAAGTGATAAAACACAGATCTGCTTGAAATTTAACATAAAAAGTGCTATGTTTTTGTCTTAAACGTTTTTATTTGTTTAATACTATAATCAAATCAACCCCATAAAAAGGGAGGGCCACCTTCAAAGTCCCTTGTGGAACACCAGAAAAGCTCAATTTTCTTTAGTTCACTCAGGTCAGAATCTGGCTAAAAATGTCTTATCAAAAAATTTACAGAGAGACAACTATTGCCTTGCATGAGACCCAGCATCACCTATTTTGTAAAGGCATGGCTGTCAATAGCACTAGTAAAACCATGAAAAATAGGTTCAGTTCCACACTCCAGTGAGAGCAGATGAGCAGCAGTGAAAGCTTTTGGGGAAAAACACTCTCCCAAATGGCCTGTTGATGTGACAAGCACACTCACAACTAAACATGACAGGATCTTTCCAAGGGAAAAAGCCAAGAAGGAAGGAAACACCCTAAAGACCTGCAAAGCCATCTAAGTGGCAGCCTGCCCAAGGGCTGTGGCACCACAATGTGTCCTCTCCCTTTCCTCCTGCATCTCTCCCTCTGGCCTGATGAGCACCAGCTCAGGACCACACATGCTCCTTCCAGCAGCCCTGCTCCAGAGCTCTGCTGGGCTGGCTGTACCTCAGCTGGAACATCCAACTGTTACTTCTCTGCAGAGCTAAGAAGTTAAGGTTCTGGGCTTCACACATCAGAAGCATCCAGAACCCACAGCAACAGCTGCAGAGCTGTGGCAGCCCTCTTGTAAAAACTGGACAAACTTTGGATTTCTTTATGGATATCCATAGGCTCCTATCCTTGGCAAACTGAGAATGAAGAGTATGATTTGGCCTGGGACAGAAAGGAGAAAGGGAGAAAAGAACTGTCCCCTTTAACTGGGAAGGACAGTAAACATACCTGTTTTAGATGCACAGTAATTAATTCTGTTAGAACAGATTTATAAATTTACAGATATTAGCAGCACATTGATGATTTTTTAAACATTTGCAAAAACACTAGAAAAGGTGCAGGGAACTTACCAACAGTATGAATAGGTTGCCTGTAAGGTATTAAGCCAAAACTGTATTGGAATACTCCTCTAGCATGAAATAGTGGTAAAGCAAAGCCCATTATCTTCTGCAACTTCTCCTGGACATTCCTAAGCCATGAACCTTTGGGGTTTGCAACTTGCTTGAATAGTTCATTTTCACCAAAGGAAAACACTGGGACCAGATGAGCCCTGTAAAACAAAGAGGACACTGAGAATTCTACATCGGCCTGCACTTGCACTGCAGTTCACATCAGCAGCATGGAAACAGTTTCACAATAACCAGCACAGAGAGTTTCAGCAGCTTTGGATTTCATCAGCAACAGGCATTCAACTCTTCTCATATGCAGCAGCTTTTTGGATGCCTTGGCTGGCTGGTGTTTAAAAAAAAAAGTGATTGGCACACAACTAGCAACTTGCTTTTGGCAGTATTTAGTTGGTTGGTACCTATTGCAATTTGTGACTGTTCGGAATTATGAAAATTAGTTATTGCATATATCATATGTTGTTATCCACCACTATTTCAGCAAGTCCACCCTTGTTCCACTGCATTTTTTCCCTTGGCAAGCAAAGAAGCCTCACTGCTAATTTTATAATGCTCCCAGCTGGGTGGCATCAAAACCAGATCTTGGCTTTCCCTTGTCTTTTGACCGGAGCAGTGCGTGCCCTTGATTTCAGCACAAAAACCTTGATATAAACCAGACACCCTCACAGACACGAGTGCAATGCCAAATTCCTATTCTGCTGTCCAATTCCCAGCCAAACCCTGCTTCCTCTGGACTTCTTTGAAAACAGAAGCCGTAGTCCATTATTCCCAGAGGTCACATCTTACCCACAGAAATTACATGAACCCACTTTGCCTCTTGCATGGCCTAATGAATTGTCATTCAGTTCATTAATTGGCCTGGGAGGAAAGGCACTGACTAGCTCCTGGACAAACAACCTGAGTGGATAGAATCAGTGCAGGTAAACCCACCATTGTATTTAAAACCTTGGCTGCAGTATGGTTTTTGATTAATGCTTAGTTTCACTAACTATTCTACAGAGTTTAGAGGAAAAAAAGCAGGGTAATCCTAAGCAGTCTCTGAAAGATTCAGGGATATTTTCTTTACTTAAATCTTAGTTTGTGTATCTTAGCTCTATTCTGTCCCCAAGGTTTTGAGAAAAACCTTACTGTAAAATAGCAGTATTGCTAGAACATTGTCAGAATTAATATCTGCATAGCTGTGAATGCTTGAGGAGGATGCACTGAGGGCAGAGCTGGCTGTGGACTGTCAATATCCACCTGAACAGTAAAAAACAATTGCTTCAACAGCTTCTTTAGCCTGAGGACTCACACAGACTATCATTCCCACATGCTGTTCTGACTAGTGTCTGCTCAAAGTTTCTTTCTCCAGTGGATTTATCACCCTGCCACCTGTAAAAGAAATACCATAAAGCCTGGTACTTACTGTGGCTGTGTAAACACTCGACTTTTTACTACAACACTAAGACAAACAGGAACATCTTGTGATGCAATAGCTGTGGTGCCCTAACACTGTGGGATTTGTTTTAATCTAGTGAAGAATTTTGCAAGATACTATGTAGGAGGCTGAGACAGAGAAATAAGTAACTTATGATTGTGAAATTAAAGATAAGTTATCTGATTCATCATTTGTTTTGTGTCTTTAGGATTTCTTCATATTGTATCAGATATTTGTACTACCTTGGACCAAAATGTCTTTTGCAAAAGTGCAGAGGACTTTTGCTGACATATTCAGGCCACATTTGACAAGCTACTACCTGAGGAACACAGCTTCTGTGTGCTGGCAGCACAGGAGTCAGGTCCAGAGAGCACAACCCTCTGCATTGCCCCTTCCTTCCTGAGTTGGTATTTGCTGCTGCAGATCATGAGCATCAGGAATGTCTGCAGGCACTGGTGGAAGATGGGTCTTCTCACCTGTGTCCCACAAGCCTCTCTGGCCCTTTCATTTCCAGCTGAGTTGGAAATTTTCTTCCCATTTTGTTAATTATTAAAAAAAATACTTCAAAAGCAGAAGCAATTACTGGATGCTGAGTCTTTGGGCAAGAGCTCTGTTAGACTCACACTGTCCCACAGCCCTGCTGGACAGATGAGAAGTCAGAACTGCTGTGCCTCCCACAGAAGCAGGTTTTTGTGCTGGTGTTTGTAGGAATGACTTGGAGCCTGCTGGTTACATGCCCATGTGAGTTGTAGCCCTCAGCCACTGGGGCAGAGACAGGCACTGCCACCCACAGGAGGGCTCTAGACAGCCATGACCCTTTTAGAAAGATGAGGACCATCACTGGAATCTAAGTAAGTGAAGGGGTAAAGGGGGAATTCCTGTGTTTTGCAAGTGTCTCACTCTTGTTGTGATGTGTTGGAGATACTTTTGAAATCAATATCTTGAGAGGCACAGGTGTATCTGATTTCTCAATCCAAATCAATTTAGATGAGCGATAGCCACCACCAACCGTTGTGATATGATAGACCAGACATCTATCAACATACTCATTAAAAAGCTATCTAAATATTCTTCTAGTCTTTATGGTTAAAACAAATAAAAGCTAGTGAGTGTTGAGGATCCCACTGAATTAATTAACAGTTAAGCAAAAATTGAGTAAGCACTCATTTGGGCAGCAAACTCCTAATTCAAATACACAAGTGCTTTTTCTGGGTACAAATTAGACTAGAATGTTACATTCTGTTGGCAAAAAAATTATTTATGAGAATCCTAGTGATAGGTGTAAGAAACACCCTTGGATTTTTGGCACAGAACAGTTTCTAGTTTTTTGCAATCTGCGTAAAAGCAGAGCCCCTCTTCTCAGAGACCACTTTTCTCCAGTTAATAGCTTAAAAAGCTTACAAATTTCTTAAGACTAGGTTTTTTTTTCTCATTGCTTCACATGTCAATGTATAATCCTGAGAGCTGTTCAGAAAGTGTAGCTGGAACAGAACAGGTTTCAATATTTCTAATACACAAACCATCTAGACCAGTCCAGAACAAACACAATATCTTATACTCTATAAATCACTCAAAAGGCATTGATACCATCTCTGTGTAATAACACACTGATGGCTGCTTCATAGTAAAAAGTTATCTAGTTTTTCTTGAGATTTTCACCCAAAATTCCCAGGAATTTACTTTTGCAAATGGCAGTTTTCAAAAGAAAGTCTTTAGAATCATAGTGAAAACAAATCCTCCTAGACCATCATTCTCAGTGATTTAATGAAACAGGGCCTGGCTATCCAATCTGTTTGTTTGTTTGCTTAAAATAATAAGAAAATTCTACCTTAATGTATCTTCAATTTACAGAACAGAATATTTGCTCTACTCAGCAAAACCAGCCGAGACTTACTAATATTGTTTCATAATTCTTACTCTTTGCTAGTGCAAGAAAAAATGGAAATAAAACAAGATATGCTAATAACACCTACTGTCACAAATTATGAAAGTCAAAGGGAGTTTTCAACACTCCCAGACTGGATCTAGGTGGACAGATTGGCTCCTGTGCCAGATATCTGCATGTTCTTCGACACTTAGACTCTTTCAAATTCTCTAATTCTATATAATATGAACTGTATTTAAGAATCAATCTGCATTCAAAGCATGCTTCATGGAAGACCTACCCATGTTTCAGGGCCATTTTAATAAAGCCCTTCCTCTTGAGGATGTTCAAGGTCAGGCTTCCAGGATGTGCATTCAGAGATTCCTCTGCTCCTCCAATCACAATGACAGATGCATGGCCACCTCCTTTATTGCTCAGCACATGGGAGACACTTTCCTTGGATGCAGAAACCATTCCTTCAGGAGGAAACATATTAAGAGTGACCACTTAAATTCCATGTACAAGTACAGTGGAATTTAAGAATATTTTTAAATATATAAATGATTTTTCAAAATTATAGCAGCACAGAGCAGATTTCAAAGGTTTGGATTCAAGCTCCTTACTCAGCAACAGATTTGGTTTTGGCCATGTGCTTTGATTTCACACTGATGAGTTAAATGTTTTTGCCTATTGCAAGAGTTTTGAGTTCTTCAGAGTGTGCTCTTCTGGCAACTTAACTCTCCCTCATAGAGACCCTGTGCCCAAGAACAGAGGAGGTGAATGGCAGCAGACACTGCTGAGAGGCAGCAGCTAAAGCTGTACAGCAGGTGCATACAAACACAGGCACAGAGGGGTTAGCAGAATGTATAGAGAACTTGTTAACTCAAACATGGAGCTACAGTGACAAGAACATCCCCCCACTCTTTTCACAGCTATAAAGCAGCAGCTCCAACTAAGGCAATGGCATGACAGCATTAGAAGATGCAGAAAAAACTCACTTCTACCATTTCTAATAACTGCATCAGCTCATTCTCTAGTAACCAGGCCCAGGCACTTACCAATATTTAGGCTAAAATAGCAGATTACATGAAGATTTTCTGGTACTTCTGCTGATACAGATACTTCTAATTGGAGGCACACTGCTGTACAAGACTTTATCATCTCCTTAGGTCTTTCTCTGGACTTGGTGCTTTGAAAAATCCATTTTCCAACAGATAGGCACCTAATGTTTCAGAGGTTCCTCTTCCTTCTTGCTCTATGTTTTCTTTCAAAGGCTTGTAGTGGTCCCATATACCCAGAAGCTATGTTTTGTTATACTGTGTTGAATTAATATAATCTAAGTGACAATTTAGAGATCAAGTCTAGTTGACATTGTTGGTTTTACAGAGCTGGTATCAAAATGCACTTTTGGATGTTCTGCTCCCTGCTTGGTCTTTTTACCAATAGGGACATTACAATGTGGATTATAAAAATTTTGGAAGAGAGGAAAGATGACTGTGATCTACTTTTGAGAGCTGGCCACCAAGAGGAATAGCTTGCAACTGAAGCAAGTCAGACCTCAGCAAAAAGCTATGTCCATTTGCCACATCTGCCTTCACAGCCACTGTTACTCTGAAAATGCAGCTGACCTGGGACTCACAAATAATTCAAGTGATGCTCATTCAAGTCAGCATGCATTTTCTCTGGAAAGGAAAGCAGAAGTCACTGCCTTTCCCCAGGACAAATGTGTCTCCTACTGAAGCTGACCTGCCCTGCATGCAGGGCACTGCTCCGTGCTCACACCGCAGCCCGAGGGTGCCACAGCTGCGCTGCCAGGGGCAACAACTGCACGTGTTAGAGCCAGGCAGAAAGACTGGGAAATGAAACATGGTGCCAAGGGCATGGCTTTCAGGACATGGAAGATTTTGCAAGTGTTTTATGATTTGACTGGTGAGCTGTATTACACCAAAGGTCCCCTCTCATTTATCAGCTGCATACCTGTGAAAACCGAGCTCCAATGCTGGCTCTTGTTTAGTGTGCTTTTTACTGCAGCTCTTTCTCATTCTGCACGTAAATATTTGTTCCCATGGGTCAAGTTGCCAAAAACGTGTAAATCTGACTTCCAGATAATGATTAAACGACAGTGTTTAAAATTGCAATGTTCTACCACTGCCAATCCCTCACTTAGCAAGCCTCAAAGAACGCCCTCAGAAAATACATTTGCATGGGAAGGCATTCTCTGATATGTTGAAGTATACATAGATAAGTAATTCTGATATTAATCTGGGAAACATCCTAGGCATGTTTCTGTGCATGGAGCAGTGGAACAGCTTCTCTGAGATCACAGTATCTGTGTTGCAGTCATGAATAAAGTTAGATCTCTGTCTCCCAAACTTGTGCATCAGAACATGTTTAAATGCTGTAGTTGTGTGAATTTAAGTACAATAACTCATTTATTAAACGAATGAGAGGGAGAATGAGTTCTTATGTCATTCTTCTCTTTTTCAGTTCCCCAACTCAATTTCTTGTTATTTTCATCTCTTATTCACTGAGAGGGAGAACGAGTTCTTATGTCATTCTCCTCTTCTTCAGTTCCCCCAACTCAATTTCTTGTTATTTTCATCTCTTATTACTGCAGTACCAGTCATGAATATCACCTCTTTATGACAAATGCTTCTCAGAACAGAGAAAAAAGGTCCCTCTCTTTAGAGTTTACATCTCAATTAAAATTACACAAATTTGCAACACAGAACTTGAATCAGAAGCAAGCAATTAATTTCTCAGTATAAAGATATTTGTAATGTATAACACTAAGCCCTTCAGGTAAGAGATTAGTCTGAATTTGTTTTACAAGTGCCTGCTAATGACTAAATAAAATCACAAATTATTATGCCCTTCTCCTCTTGTATATAATGGGTACTCAGGACTGCTGTCTGATAGTTCAAAGGAAAACCAGCAATTTCTTTTCAGAAAGAAAAAACAACCCAGTGATATAGTTTACAAAACTATTAATAAAACCTTCCAAATTTTTTTTGCCACAACAGTTCATCATAAAATAGAGGTAAATTTAGCACCAACAGTGATCCTTCTGAAATTACTTACCATATATAAGTAGAGGAATAGACTCTACATTTGTAACCGAAGCTAAAATATGGAGCAAAAGCTGAGACATTCTGCTTTTACCTACCAGCACTCATTATGTATTCCCTGAAGAAGGGACAGCCAAACCAGAGAGGCATGATATGGAGATATGGAGTAAGCCCAGGAAATAAATTTTTGAAAGGAGGATCGGTGCAAAAGTTTCCGAAGGCTCCAGCAACCAGGACCCCATGAGGGTGAAAGCCAAGTAAGTAGTTGTGATTTGGGTTCAGTTCTGAAGTTTTTATAAGCTGAAAAATAGAGTCAGTGGTGGGCATTATAATATTTACCTCAAAAACAACAGCTATGGAGATTGCACATTGACAGGACATAGAAGCAACAATAATGAATTTCCTTCTGAGCACTTAAAATACTGTTCTGCTTTACAGATAAACAAAGCTTAAATAGATGTGTCAGTATACCATGTCTAGATTTACTGTGCTGAACTGCTATCTTGTCACCTAACAGTCCAACTAGAAAAGCAGGCCCTGTCCCCTTTTGTCACTAAATCTCAGATTTTGCATGTTTTAAAAAGCAGTTAAGTTCACCTTGCAGTGCATATTAGAAATTTAGCAAAGATGAGTCTTAGATGTTTGTCCATGGTTATGGCTATTCAAGCTGTTTGTGAGAAACCTTTTACTCACATGAATGGGAAAGTATTCCCTGAAGTACTTCCAGACAGTCCAGCTTCTGACCCAGTGGGACCGTCTGCCCCCAGCACATGGTGTTCCCCAGTCGAGGTACAGCCACAGCAGGTACAGAACAGCAAGGAACCAGAAGTTGCCCAGGATCAGGATCACGAAGAATCCAAAGCAAAACTCTGCTACAAGAGACAAAAAGTGAAAGGATAGCAAGCATTAATCACATCTGTGTCCTTTTAAGAATGCCTGACCTTGAAATGTGTTTAGAGATTTACTGAAAATGCACACAAATTGAACTCAGCTTATTCCACATGGTGTTGCTACAGCGAGGGTGAAACATCACAAGGGTGTAACATCTCAGTCTATTATTTCTCCCTGTACTGCACAACTGGATGTTTGGTTGAGAGCATCTGGTTTACCTAAGGCAAAATAAAAGGAGACAGCAAGAGCTAACAAGGATTTAATGCTTTAGGGAGAAGACAGGAAAGCTGGGGAAGGAAAGAAGGGAAAGGGAGCCATAGCAATCTCTCTATTCTAATTACAGGGATGTTGGGCAACAATTTTCTTTTCTCTTTCTCAGATTCTCTACCTATAATATGGGGTAGTAGTTCTACTCCCAGCCAAAAGTACTGTCACTGGCCAAGGAGATGCACTAGACAAGACCAAAACACAAACAAGTTCCACTTCAGCCACTAAAGCCATCAAAGGAAAAGTTCAGTGCCGCTGTGGGAATGCAGCAGCAGGTAAGTCCTGATACTTTCAAACTCAATTAAGTAAGAATTGTAACATCCTGCTACAATAGTGATACATAAGAATTGTATCATACACAATTCAAAGAGCAGGAAAAAGTTGTTTGGTTAAATATAATGTGTTACTTGGAGCTCAGCCTTGAAATAATTACTCAGGGAAATCCTATGGAAACTTTATCTTTGTAGAACTTGCAAAATTTTAGTCTTGCAGCATGCTGAGAGGCCCTAGTCTGAGATGTCTGAGGAGTAGGAGATGCTGCTCTCTGCCCTGTGGTACCCCTGCAGCAGCCTGCTTGCTCTGCCACCTCCTGAACAAACCCCTCAGGCTGATGGATCAGATGCTGAAGTCCAGGTTGCAAGGGAGCCAAGGCTTTAACATCATAAATTTATACAATGGCAAGCAAAACAGACCTAGTTCTCACTGAAGACTCAATGGGCAGAGTTGCAGGAACCCAACGGTTTTCAGAGATATTTTACAATGCAGAAGCAGTACTTTATGTCTCAAAATTGACTGGCTTTCATGAGGGTAATATCCTGTGAAGTCCTAGAAGAAGTTACACCAGTGAAACATACTGAACTAAATACACCACTAAATAGAGAAGATTTAAAAACAAACAACAGAAGTATTTCAGGCAATAATTTGGCTCACACAATGTAAAATATCACCAGAACTGAAAACTTTAGAATATGTAGATGAACCAAGAGTAACATCCACTCATTGTAGTTGAGATCACCTTCATTCAGGAGAGACATTACTTGGGTGTTGAAAGTCATCAGATTCCCTAGACTGTGCAGGTTTTGAGCTGAGATCTCAGCTTGGTCTACAGGCAGACCAGCATTTCCTCCAACCTGAATATTTACTTTTTCTGAATTTCAATCAGCTTGTTCCTGTGCCTAGTCTGACTGTGCCTTCAGAATAGAATTGGATATCTTGTCTAGAAGGGGATGAACATTCACATTTCCAGCAGGATTATGAGCAGAAAAATAAGGAATTTTATTTGCTCGGAAGGAAGGGAGAAGGAAATGACCATAAACAAAAGCAGGAGCAGGACAAAACCTACCATTTTCGAGGATACCCCATTCTTCAGTACAGAAGCTCACTGCTTCCTCCTCAAGCAAACAACCCTGGTCTTGCACAGAAAAGCACTTGAGCAAGAGCTCTTGGAAAACACCACAGCTAACTGAGGCCCACAGACCCCAAAGTCAACATGGAAAACTCACAAGAACTGAAACCAGTTCTAAGGAATATCATTAATGCAGGACAAGTTACACGGTGAAATATGACACTCAAATTCCACAGGGAATTCCACAGGGAATCCCATAACAGCATCACTCCAAAGTAGGGCACAGAAGTCTATTGAGGAGAAGTCATTACCTGTTCCTTGAAGAAGAGATCCTGAAACTATAGAAATTTCTAGGAGTGCTAATCTGGACAGGATGCCAATGTTCTTGGCTTAAGTTGAACAAGTATGAGAAGTTTTTTCTAGCATCTATAAATCAATTCATTTGATATACAAAATTTAGTAAATATTTATATTTCCTACCCTTCCTTTCAGAAGCACTTTCCACTTAACACAGAATCAATCACATGGCTTTTTCAACACAAAATCACATGAATTTTTACTATGAGTTTGCTAGCAAACAGCTGAAAAGTGCTTTGCAGCCAAGCATCCTTGCTGTGAGAGCTGATTACATCAGCAGTGAGAAGGCCCAGATAGCAGCACTTAATCCTGTGCAGAAAAACATCCACCAGATCAACAAGCTGGCTGCTTTGCTTTAGCTGGGACACCTTCCTGAGTGCAGGCAACTATGGGGAGATAAATATGCTGTTAGCACTTCCTCAGGGGAGCTCAGCATCTTGTAGGACAAAGTTGATTACTGCATTCCCAATGAGACATGTGAGGCAAATTCCTTTTACCATACCTCCTCATTATTTCAACGAATTAGCAGCCTGCAAGACGAGCTAAACCCTGATGACTCAAAACCAATGAGCCTGTAAACATAAACCTGATGTTTTTTCCTTCAGACAAGACAGTGAGTAAATAAATAACAACCAATTTAAGTAAATTCATAAACAAATTCCAGGCAAAAGGTGAATAACCTGGGATTTGTCACTCTACTGCATCATGTCCTTGGATGTAGTTCCAGTGTACATTCTAAGCGTAATTTTTTGGTTGAACTTGGAGCTTTGAAAAGTATCTCTGTGATATACTGGATTTTGGGGGTAGGTGAGGGAATATGAGGAAATATAGATTAAAAGACAAATCACTGACATTGAACACTGGGTTTGTGAACCAGTGGTGGTGTGCCACTTCTCCTGCATTTCCCATTTACAACACATGGATACTCATATTTTGCAACAAATGGTGAAAACCACTCTATGTAGTGTGAGCAACCAGCACTGGCAGCCATCCTGCCCAATGATGTTTGCACACCTGATACTTCAATCATTAATCAGGCTCTGAGTTTGCAGCTGGGGGCACCAAATTTATGAAACAGTTGAATACCAGAGATAGGAAGCACAGGTTAAATCTGGAAATTGGAAGCTTTAAATGCATTTGGAGTTATTAAGGCATCAAAAATGTTTGAATAATATCTGTTGTGAAAGCCAGAAAATGCAAGATTGTCCCTAGAAGAGAAAGCTCCCATTATCCTCAGAGCAGTCACGGACAGCATGGGCAGTGCAGGTGTGTCCCTGGTGCCAGGGTGCTGGTGTCACCCCAAGCAGCATTACAGGCTCTCTGCAGTGCTCCAAAAACGATGCAAAGGAGCTCACTCAGAAAGTGGCCGGGCAGCCAGCATTTGTTGGATATGGATCAGTCTCCTGTGAGGGCCTTTGTCAGGTTATTGGTGACAGCTGGGAGCCACAAAGACATCTGAGCACTCCTACCAAGGAAGCTGCATCTCAGCAGTGCTGTGACAGCAAACACAAACACTCAGATGCCAAGCTTTAGAGGCCTGTTGATGCTGAAATCTGGTTCCAAGTTCCCAAGACCTTCCATTGGCAAATACTGATAAACTAGAGATACAGAGCATTACACACAACTGACTTGGAGGCAGAGTGGCCTGGATCCCATAAATCCCCAAGTTACTAATTGCCAAAGCCCAAGACAGCATGCCAAATTTAGTCTACCTGTTTCCCATTTCTTTTCTTTCTCCTTAGGCATTCACTGTCACGTTCACATAGGGGTTGTCAAGCTAGGGTGTTTGGCCTGACACAGCAGAGCCATTTTTTCTTAGTATTTTTGAGAGATATAAACAAATACACACAGACACCTTGTTAAATTCCCTCACTAAGACGTAGGTAACAGAGGCAGCATTCCTAGAAATACTAGTCAGTAAGAACCCTGTTATTCTCTGTGATCACACTTCAGTCCCTACCCATAGGCCACCGATAAACTTCACGGATAGATGAGTACAGAGTGACAAAAACAAGTAGCAATACCAGCCAGCTTGCTAGGAAAGGCTCATGGAGCTTAGCTGAGTTTTCTTAAGCATCAAAAGAGGGTTTTTTTTAAAAAAAAAGACTTTGAGGAAGAACAAAACTATATTAGTTATCCAGCTATAGCTGATTAATTAAATCAGCACCAGATTACAAACCATTGTGACATGTTTGCAGGAAAGGTTAATATTTGCTTTAGCACATTACACTGACACCTTCTTTCTCAACACAGAAACCACTTATTATTCCAGCAGCAATCTCTCACTCTGTAGCAAACGTTTCATCATTTCTATTCTTTTGGGGAAGCCAGATCCACAACTCAAAACTGTCTCCAGCAAGTTCAATTAATAGACTGCTTCATCCTACATGCACAGAAGTTTAATCACTAGAGTACAGGATGTAGTTTAATATATACCAATGTCTTCAGCCTATTATTTTGTGGCTTTGACTTCCTAAATCCCCAGTGAGGAGACCAGGGACACGGCTGGGCCCAAAGTGGGCCTTAGAAGATGTACTATTCTCCCCTACCATCACCTTTTCTCAGAGAAAAACGCTGGTATCCCTTCTGGAGGGCTAAACCCTCACTTCCCTCTCTCATTGTCTGGCCCAAGACACCACCATTCCAGCCAGGCTGCTCAGTTTTGCATTTGATTTTATACATGTCCAAAGTCCACTGTCCATTTTCACACCGGGGCACAGAAGTTAGCAGGAGCACATAGCTCACCAACTCACCTTCTAATTTTACTTTCTTCAAAAATGCTGTCATCTAATGTGTACATCAGAGAGGAAAACAAAAGGCTAAAGCACTGGGAAAGCAGCACTTCGACCAGATCTGACTGATTCTTCTTAGTTTTATTGGTTTTGCCTTTAAATGAGCCCTTTGATCTACCTCCTGATACAAAGTGAACCTCACTGACAGATGTGCAGTACTGGGGCACACAGGTCACAGCACACAAGGATAAATGCCACATTGCTGTGTGAGAAACAGAAAACCTACACCTGTTCCCAATCAAAGGATATCAGGCATACTGGTAAATGCAGCAAAATTAATTCAAAGTTCTTTAGAAAAACATTTCCCAGTTTAAAAACAAAGATTTCCTGCAAACACTGGGCACATCATTGCATCTAGTGACAATTCCTTCAGTGCACAGGCACAATGAACCTAGATAGAAAAATGGGGATTATGTAACCTCTTTGCTTTGTCAGTCCTGCAACATTTACAGGCTTGGAGATTTTATTTCTCCAGGTGACTTTCTGCCTGGGGTTGGGTTGGACAGTGGCACAGAGTGATCAAGAGCAGCCAGCACACAGGCTCACAGGCAGACATGCTGTGGGTGTTGCACGAGCTTGGTACAGGGCCAGACCTGCCCCAGGACTGTCAGCCCCCAGCCAAGAGAACAAATCTCAAATAACCATAATTACAGGCATAAAACTACCATCTGTAAAAATTGTCTGGTTTGGCCTTTTATCCAAAGTAGATACTATGAGATTGCAAAACTTCATCTATCTGCTGTTTCAGCAGTAAAACATTAATGGCTTGACATTAGGCTTCAGCCTGAAGCTGTTTTGGATTTGTGCTTAATACAGTGAGAAATTGCATTTGCCAGTTTTCAGTTTTAACAGCTTTAGTTTTCTGGATTCAAGACCAGTAACACTTGTCTTTCAAAAGACAGAAGCCCATTTATAATACTTCTCTCTTTCATGGAACTTATATCCAAACTTTTCTGGTCTGCTGACTCGGAGAACATAAGATAGAAAACCACATGGCATTTTCAGCCAACACATGGTGGGAATTTGTTAATGGGCATTTCTCTCATCTAATCCAGAAACTCTTACATTCACCTCCCAGTATTTCAGAACTTATTTTTGCTTCTGGTGTCATGCCCCTGGATACGAACAGGCAAATCACTGTTACAATGAAAACTTGTCCTTTCCCTTTGAGAGTGAACTTTGGCAGCTTGCAGCACAGAACAAGGAAGCACAGGAACTTACAGCCAGAATTTTAAAGAGGTTCCTTTTGTATATAATGAAATTCTGTGCACATCTGTACAGCTTTTTTGAGACAGAGGCATGTTTCCTCTGCCTGTGCTGCACAGCAGAAGCAATGGATCTCTAGTGCAGATCCAGCCCAAGCTGGTACATGGCATGAAGAAGCAGAACTTTGCTTGTACCAGGCTGCTACTGTTATTTTTTCAGTATTTGCAGACTGATTCAGTATTTCTACAGTGGAGATGAGATTTAGGCTTCAACAACTACTGCATGTCTGTATTTCAGGCCAGCTTGTGAGTTGCACAAATAAGAGGGCATTTTCAGTCATCAATTCCAGTCTCAGAAAACCATGCAGCATTATAACAAAGCAAGCCTGGAGAGCAAGGGCTTTTTACATTTTTCAGCCAGGAAGATAAAACCAAGTCTTTTATCCAAGTCACATTGAGAATTCTAACTTGTAATAGGCTCACATTCCCCTTACAGCTTACTCAGTGTGCGAAATCACTTTTTCATATGTCGCTCCCCAGATTTGAAGCATATCATTGACCAATTCAGTTTTTGTGATTCAGGGCAGTAATTTTCAGAGTTATCTTACTTCATCTGTAAGTCCTACAGTTCATTTTACTAAGCTATGCCACATTACAACATACCTAGATGGACAACTTCAGCAGCTAAGCCAGTAGTACCCCCTTTATTCACTGCTCTAAACAGAATCCCTCTATCTGTATCATGAATCATTAGTTGTCATAGGGCATTATCTGTTCAAGTTTTCACATGCAGCCATGTAACACAAGAGAGACAATCAAGATCGTGCTTGACATAAAGCAGTTCCAGCCACACATAAACCCCCAAAGAACACCTAAACCTCCAACCTATTCTGTGATGAACTCACATAGTAATTCACTTGTCCTGAGGCATCCCCTCCCTGATTTGAAATGTCACTACTGAATCCAAAGCTTACAAACAAACAAACATCTGTTCAGAAGAAAAAAAAAAAAAACAAAACCAAAAGCTGAAAAATCCAGACATAGGGGCATTCCAGAACATCAGAAACCAGCCAATTTCTCACTGCCTTAAGTCATTTAGGCTCCATCCACCTGAATTTTCCTACAGCTAAGTGAAACTTTTTGGCCAGATCACTGGCTGACCTTTCACTTGAAAGCATCCGCCTACAAAATGACAAGGTCACATTGGTCAGCTCTAAAGATAAACATCCCCATAGTGCACAAGCAGATAAGTATTATTAGAATCAAATTGTTAACCATTCTTGCAAATCCATTTTTTCATGACCACATGAACTCACTATACTCAATATAACCAGCCATAAGACCATTTCTGAGTTGATTTTCCTTGACATTTCCAGGCAGTGCCAGCTGCAGATGACAGCTCCCTACTTTGCCTGCTAAACTACAGAGGGGATTTTTTGCATCCCGATCACTTCTCGTAAGCACAGGAAGATGTGGTTTTCTGCAGCAGTATTGCTACATTAAGGAAAAAAAAATTTTCTTCCACTGCCCCTGAACTTCCACTGCTTTATAAGACTTAAATAATGGCTCATGCCAAGACCTAATTCAATAAAAGAAAAAGTAAAGTACAGACCACTTACAACGCAGTCACAAACAGAAACTGTTTATCATTTAACTACATATAATTTCGAGGTAACAGAACATCTGCTGCTTAATCTGTGAAGATGCTTCATACCCTCCATACTGCACCCAAATCTTTCATGTGTGGATTAATAACATAAAAAAACCCTTGAAAGACATCAGACCATCTGTAGGACAATATATTTGTAAGACATACAAGGAAGATAAGTGCACACTACTTTTTTCCTTGTAAATCCTAGAGCATAGATGATCTTGAAGTGTTCCAGCATTTCCAGTAATACACAGGTAGCTCTGTACCTCAGAACAGACTATTCAACAACCACTTCCCAATTTATACAATCCATGGATTTAGCCTCATAGAGCCCAGGCTTATCTTACCATATCAAGTGACTAATTTCATCAAATTCAAGATACCTACCCATGTGAATACAATTTGCTGCTGTGAATAGGTGCTTAACGATAGGTGTCTATTAAGATATTAGGAAAATTAATGCTAGAGGAACAATCAGTAGAAAAAGATTACCAAGTAGAATTAGCAACACTTTCTTAAAGCCAGTGAGGATATTTTTCATACATTTACAGAACTGTCTGCATTTGAATTAGTTCACTGACAATGCCCATTATTTTTCATTAGCTGGTTAAATGAGAATTTTATTGAAATACAGCACATAAAGTTATTTTACGAAATTATGAATGAAAACAGCATTAGTCATGTACCAGACTTTATGCCCATCTTCGATAAAAAAGTTGCTGTCAGAAACCTACTGGGCGTCTCAATGAGGAGCCACAGACACTACTTTTTAGGCTCATATTTGAAGCAGAACCCATAGAAAAAAACAAACCCCCATAAAAGAAGAAAAGCTATCCAAAGCTTTCCGGGAAGAAAGAAATGCGATGCTCCTGCCCGCCCAGGGATCGCTGTTCGCCCCCGGCCGCTTCTGCACCCACGTGCAGCCACGGCTGGCACCGAGCGATGCCCACGGGTAACGCCGGTCAAGGAAAAAGCCGCTTCTCGCCCTTTTCTCTCTGGGGCAGGGGCAGGAAGGAGGAAGGCTGTTACCCAGCAGGAGGAAGGAGAAGATCCACTGCAGAACGGCGACTGTCTGGATCCTCCTCTTTAGGGGGATATTGATGGGGGCAAACTCGACCTTCATGCTGACGGAGAGCAGCGCGGGAGGCACGGACCCGCCGGCTCCGGCCCCAGCCGCCACACCTGCCCGCTGCGCGCCGCTCTGCCGCGGCCCCGGCCGTGCAGGACGCGCCCCTCCCGCCGCCGGCGCTGCCCACGGCCGCGGGTCCGGCAGGCGGGGACGGGGAGGCGGTGCCGCCCGCCCCGGCCGCGGCAAACCTGGTCCTGGAGCAGGAGCGGGCAGAGCTCGGGCACGGCTGCGGAGCCTGGCGGCGGCTACATCCCCTCCGCCCACAGGCGGCTGGCGCGGCTCCCCCCGCCTGCTACCGCTCCGCATGAGCGGCACCGGGCGGAGGCACCGCGGCTCTGTCGGAGCGAGCCCCGCGCCTGCGGACCCCGGTGCGCCCGCACGCCCAGCACCTGCACTGCCCCGGCGGGCTTTTCCCCTCGGAGCGCCCGGAGACCCGGCGCTCCGGGGCGTGCTTAAGGCTCTTACCACTAAAGAGCTTATGGAGCTGACCCAGAACTTAAGAGTTCCTACAGAGTTTGGCGTCAAGCGTTTCGTTTTTAATTACACCAGCACACGCATAGCCTCCTCCCGCCCGCGGCGCTTCACCCGGCGCGTCCGTGACAGGGATCGTCAAAATAAAACTGCGGCGTGAAAAAGAAACCACCTCCCGAAACTTGCACAGCGTTGCCCCAGCTGACCCCCCTTCTCCATGAGGACAGCGGCAGCGCCGGGATTCACCATTCACCGGGGGGACAGGGACAGCGCTGGGACTTGCGGTCCCCACGCGCGGACGGGAACGGCGGCACCGCCGGGACTCGCGGTCCCACACGGGCCGCCCGTCCCGCCCAGCGCCGCCGACAGCGCGGGGCCCCGGCGCGGGCTGATGTCACCGCCGTAGCTGCCTGCCTCGCTGCCGGGGCTCGGCGCGCCGTCCGCTCCCTCCCCAGGCGCAGGCCTGGCTCGGAGCAGCGCCACGGCCGCCCGGGTGCGCGGCGCAGGCGCAGCGCGGGCCCGGGCCGCCATGCCGACCGTCAGCGTGAAGCGGGATCTGCTGTTCCAGGCGCTGGGCAGGAGCTACAGTGAGTGCCCGCCGTCCCCGCCGTGCTGCGGGACGCGCCCGCCCGGCTGCCATTGCCGCTGGCCGGGGCGAAGCTCTGTGTGCGCACGGTGCCGCCAGCCGCGCCCCGCGTGTCCCGGGCTGCACTGTGGCTCTCGGGGAAGCGCAGGCCTCAGAGCGCCGGTGGCTCCCCTGCCGCCTGCTCCTCGCCTGCCCACGGCGCGCCAGGCGCAGCCGTGTGTCATCCCGGCCCTTCAGCGGTGCCCTGACACGCACTGCCAGAGCCCGCATCGCTCGGGAAAGCGCAGCCACGCGTCTCCGCGTGGCGATTTCTGGGTTTCACTGTCGGTTTTAGGATCTGGTTAAACGAAGAAGGAGGGAGGAGAGGGGGGAGCAGGCAAAGCGAGCGGAGAATAGCGTGGGTTTATTCAGTCCTTCCTTCCTGGCTCACGAAGCAGATTTCAGAACTGCTCGGCTGAAGGAGCATTCAGGACATGCAGTGGTTTAGGCCAGACGGAAGCTGCGGCTCTTGAGACACCCGGCGCGTTGTCAGAACAGGGCTGTGTTACTCACATGTTACAGCGCAGTTGATGCAACCTCTATAGAACAGCCTGTCTGATCAGAATAGGAGCACTTGGCAGAAGCTGCCCAGTTATTCCCTTCTGGTTTCATTATCTGTTCAGGCCAGAGTTGCTCTGACAGACCTGGCTGAGGAGCTGAGCTCCAAAGATCAGAAGCTCTCCCTTGTGACTGTCAATACCACGTCAGTAAATCAAATATGTACTAAAGAAGCTGCTACTCAGATACATACATAAGGAAAAGTCTTTAAATTACTTTTACCATATTTTTTTTTCCAAAATAGCATTTGTTATATTTTTTGAAAATATTCCAAACATACATACACAAATTAGGTCTGAGGTCTGCTTATTAATCAAAATTCACCCTCTTCCTTCACAGCGGATGAAGAATTTGATGAGCTTTGCTTCGAGTTTGGTTTGGAGCTTGATGAAATAGTAAGTAATGTTTTTATTTGTTGCTTTTTTGAGTAGATGTCGCATATTGACAGAGTTGATTTTTGGTAAGAGTTTGTATGGCATTGTTTCCAGCATATCCCCTGTTACAATGTTCTAATGGACTGTATTAACACAGGTGTTTTATATCTGGAAAAATCCCCTCAGACTTACAAAGTTACTGCTTTGGAAGCAAGAGACTCCAAGATGGCATATTGCAATACTTTCTGGAGGTCAGCACTCTGTGCCTCTTGATCTTCAGTCTCAGGCACCATTTTATTTAGCAGCATAAATATGACCACAGAAGATGTATGGATCATATTTTACAAGATCTGCTTGGCTTTGTTTGATATGCAGTCATCTGTGCAATATCCACAAAAAATGTGTTTGCCCTGGACATTGTTACCCGAGTTGTAACTAATTTATATTTAATGTTTTGATTTAGGTTCTGTACTTGTGGAGATTTGCTAGCCCTAATAACTCCATGCAACTCTTGTTCAAGTATACCTGTTTTGTTTTTGCCATTTAATTTTAGTTTATTGGCTTTTTAATGACATTTATCAAAAGACATCTGAATGTCATATGTTATACTTTATTTCAGAATAAATTTGATTGTGACAAGTCATTTGCCAAAAATAAGGTCTCAGATCTCTGCTGGGGTCTGACAGCCTGGAGGTTCTTGCTTCTATAATATTTTTTCTTAAAATTAAAATTTTAATAATGAATTTTTATTTTGGTACAGTGCCTTACAGTTTCTGATTTTAAGGTTTTACGTAATTTCTTGTATTTGGTGTGTCCATTTGCTGTATAAATGCAATTTACAGTGTTAAACTTCTAATTAATACAGTTTCTCCTATCATACCACTATCACACTGCTATCAATGTTAAGATATATCAGGTTAAAACTGCATTTTGCTTGATTTCAGACATCTGAGAAGGACATTATAAGTAAAGAAAAGGGTGAAGAAAAGGCCAAGGGTGCGTCTGATGTCGTTCTCTATAAAATCGATGTTCCTGCCAACCGCTATGATCTGCTTTGCCTGGAAGGGTTGGTCCGAGGACTGCAGGTCTTTAAGGAAAGGTAAGGCAGAGTTGTGAGATCTCTGTGTGGTTTGTTATTTGTTGAAATATGGGTCCATTTCTGGTAAGTAAACAGAACTTCCTACTTGCTTGCATTTGGAGTATGTTTACATGTGTAGGTGAGGTTCATCAGGTGTTCCTCTGGAGACATCTATTGCATAACTTAAAAAGACTAGACTAGAATGTTTCTGGGGTTTGTATCTGTTCTAAGAAGTTTTCAATTGCTGTTCCATTTGAGACTTATTCTCTGTAAAGACTTATTCTCTGTAAACTCCTGTAGAGAAACTTCTGGTCCTTTCTAATAAATACCAAAACACATAATTTATTTCCCTTTTCTGCAATGACTTTATCTTGCTGAGTTCTTCCTTTCTAGTTCAGTAATCTGTTGACCATCCCATAAAAAACAAGTTTTGCACAGTTAGCTAATTACATACCAAGAAATGTTACCAAGAAAGTTTTCTACATGTAATTCCTGCTACATTTCTAGAGTTTGCTGCATTTCAGCTACAGACTTACTTCTGTTTTTGTTTTAGGATAAATCTCCCTAGGTTTGAAAAGATAATACCAGCTGAGGGTGAAGGTCAGAAGCTAATTATCACTGAACAGGTAATAGTGTTTACTGCACCTTTGTAAATGCATTGAGAGTTGCTGAAGCAGCACGATCCATATCAGTACAATTTTGTAAGAGCAGTGAGACTGGAAATCTTATTTGCAGAACAAGAGCTAAAGACATTTAAATATCTCTACTAGTTGTGATGTATTCTTAGGAATGAGGAGTGGGAGGAACAATAGACAAATTGTTTTGAGTGAACCTAGTAGCAGATCAAATCAAAGTTCCAGATGCTGCTCAAATCCAATCTCTTGCAATGCTGCTGTTGTAAATTGCAGACTGCCCAGGTCCGGCCTCACGCTGTCGCTGCCGTCCTGCGAAACATAACTTTTACCAAGGACCGGTATGACAGTTTCATCGACCTCCAAGAGAAACTACACCAAAATATTTGCAGGTCAGTGCTTGAATTTGGAGTAGTGTCTAGTGTCTGTGTTATAATTTTATCACATGTTAAAACTGCACATCCCTATTGCAGAGAGGTGTTAGGGTTATGCTGGGGAAAATCTATAGGAGTTCTCTTGATCCTTCTCATTTCCTTGCCTGTTCTTGTCTGCTGCCAGTATTGTTCAACATAAAGAGCTGTTACAGTTCATTCAACAGTTGAAACAGAAGTGTTCAGCAACATTCCCATTGCATTTGCCTTGACAGTTGTGTTGCTATTCATAATAATGTTTATTAAAATGTTATTAGTCAAATAATTTTCTAGGCTTCTCAAAATTATCCTTCTGCTTTTTCAGTAAGCTCTGCAAATGCATAGAAGTATAGAGCATCATACTCTATGAAACTCCAAGTATTACTAGTAAAAACATTATTTTGCCTTCTTTTATTTCTAGGAAAAGAGCACTAGTAGCAATAGGTACCCATGACTTGGACACCATCACTGGTCCATTTACTTTTACAGCCAAAGCACCTTCTGAAATTAAATTTAAGCCCTTGAGTCAATCCCAGGAATACACAGCCTCACAAATTATGGATCTATATAGGGTAAGTGGAATTTTTCAGACTTGTTGCACTAAATGAGGAAGATAAATTACCAAGGCTAAATATCTCTCATATCCTTGTTATTAGAAGTTGTTCTTACAAATAAAACACAGTTGTCTTCTGTAGCTTAACAGCCATTGAACATTCCATATTTTGCTTGTCCTGTTGGAAAACACTGGCCCTGGAGACAAATCCTCAAGTATCTTTGACTAAAGAGTAAGAAAGCTCAGAAACAAAAGAGACTAAAAGGAAATTAGATTTTTGGTACAGCACATGCTTATGTCATTAGAACAAATGTAATTTTTGAATCAAATTTAGGTATGTGTTAGTATCCAGCAATTTATAACTACAAGTATAACTGTGTTAATTTTTTTAACTTTTTAAGAGGAGTTCGTATAGGCTAAGGATATTGGCAGTGTTTGTGTGCTGTGGTGAGCAAGACTATCATTTGGACAAAATGACCTACACATGTTTGAGACAATCCTTAAATAATCTGCAGCACTTCTGAAGAAAACCAAAAATTCATTTCAGACTTTTCCTGCTGCTGGGAGCAAACAGTCTTTGCTAGTAAAGTACCTAACTAACCCAATCCTTCCCACCTTCAAAGTTCCCCTTAATCACTCACCAGAGGATTAGCTCTGTGAGAGTTCACCTGTGAGCAGAAGTGAAATTCAGTTGGTGCTTTGTTTCTGCAGACTGACAGCCACCTTCGGCACTATTTGCACCTGATTGAAAACAAGCCACGTTACCCTGTCATTTATGACAGCAATGGGGTTGTTCTGTCCATGCCACCAATCATCAATGGTAAGATTAATTTGTGACTGCTGTGTACTGTTATTGCTGTTTTGTGTGTGAATTCCTGTCTGACAAACGCTGATGTGTCATGGGATTATTATGTTTCCTTAAAATGGTTTCATTTATAATTTCACGAAGCCTTCTTTCCTTCTTTCAGTTTAAAGGTAGTCAGTTTTTTTTGCTCCCTCCCTAGGCTGCTAGTGTTCATTTTTCACATCTTCATCAGAAGGGTGTAAAAGTCTTACTGCAAATCTCTGCATTGAGTTTCTCATACTCTTCCCCAGCTCAATGAAGTTCCTTGTGACAGAAACTTTTGTCATGAAAGCATTTTGTTTAGCTAAAAGAAGGCAGCAAG